GCCCGTCATTGGATACATCAGCAGCAATTGGCTGAGCTCCTGTCTTAGGCTGCAAGGGTGGGTAGAAGGCCACTGTGTATTCTCTTACCCATCACAGGCTAGGTGGTTCAGCTCACTGGGATGATCAGCATTAGGCCTATTCATAGTCTTCTTGGCTGACCATCTCGAGTCTTTGATAGTGCACTTGGATGGGCTGAACCTTTAGGGCATCAATTTGCTGTTTGACAAAGGCCATAAGCTTGTTAAAAAGAAAAGGTCCAAGAGAAAGAATTATCAACAAACCAAGCAGGGGACCAAGGAGGGGGAGGACATAGGGGAGAAGTCGGTTGAGTCCGGTCCAGAAAGGGGAGTCAGCCAGTTCTCTGCGTCATTTTTCTAAGCCCTCTTGTAGCCTTTTTATCTTGTCCTTAACTATGCCTGATTTATTGGCATAGAAACAGCATTGTTCCTATAAAGCCAAGCAAATACCTCCCTTTTCTGATGTTAGCAGATCTAGACCTCTTCTGTTTTGTAATACTATTTCTGCTAAAGAATCTAGCTGCTGGAGAGATGGCTCAGAGGTTAAGAACACTGCTTGCTCTTCCTGAGTTCCTGAGTTCAATTCCCAGCAACCACCTGGTGGTTCACAACCATCTATAATGAGACCTGGTGCCCTCTTCTGGTGTTCAGGTGAACATGCAGGCAGAACATTGTATAAATAATAAAATTAAAAAAAAAAAAAGAATCTAGCTGCTCCTGGATATTTTGTATGGTACTTGACAAGAGCTGAACATCATCAATCAACTGTTGTGAAAGCTTTTGATATTTGTGCAACAAAACTCCTAATCCCGCCATCCCTGTGGCCAGGGAAGTGGACAGCCCCAGCCCAATCAAAAGGGGGATGAACTGGACGGCCCCTTTTTGTCGGCTAGCTATTAGATCAAAGCTAGGTAATGGTACAGGTTCATTTCCAGGGATAATGGTTATATCTGAGAGGAGGGATGCCTGGACACAAGTTCCTGTCCAGTTTTGGGGTAAGAGTGTATAGGCCTCATTGTTGCCACAAATGAAGACTGTTTCATTATTAGGACAAACAGCTGTGGTAACATTAATCATTGTCTTACAGTAGGTGAATGTCATATGCCCTATATCCAAATCATTGGTGTTATTTTTAAAATGTTTATATAGGCAGGTAACATTTTGATAAAAAAGAGTCTGCACAAGCAAAGGGGGCATCAGAATGCAGCCTCCTGAAGAGGATGTATAAGTAGCATTAACTGCAGGCAGAGCAATAGGGACTGGCCATCCCTGCTTAAGGCAGAGCCAGCAGTCCTGTGCCAAAGAAGGGTTAGTATCATTGAGTAGACTATGAGTGGAGGACAGGATATCAAAAGTTTGGGGATCAACTGAGGAACCCGTTTTTTTTTTTTTTTTTTTTTTTTTTTTTTTTTTTTTTTTTGTCAGGGAGAACCAGGGGGTGATAATTGAGGGAGGGATATTCCTTCTTTATAAGTTCCTCAATGCGTTGCTCAACCTCTAACTGACGGACCTGATCCTGGGGCCTGCCACCATCCCAGATGTGCACAGCAGGGGACATGTTCCAACACACTGGCTTACCTGGTGTGCCATGACAGGGCGCCTGAGCATATTTGTATGATGGGCCCAAGACTCACACCTCAGTCGACCAGTCCCCACCGAAAGTTCCCAGGGAAGCTCTAGCTAAGATTGCAGTAAAGTAGGTTCTATTATGTTTACCAGTACACTGATGAGTAGCATGTACTGTATATGGATGTTTGAAAAACATTACAAGGGCAGGACCTGGGATGACCATTAACCAGAGGAATAACTGGAGATTTCTTAGCACAATACCATTTTAGGGCAAGGGCAGCGTTATTCGGATTAATGGCCTGAAAAGCTGTGCAGTTGCCACAGTCAACCTGTCTAAGGACATGCACTCCAGTGACAGGTACCCATTGTTCCCCTTTGCAATCACAGGGTTAACCAGTTCAAGGGAGCCTGAGCTTTTTGGGGGTTGAAGGCTTCAAAACCTCCAAGCGTAGATCTCGGGGAGAGGAAAAACTTGCAGTCCAAAGTATCAGCCAGCATTATCTAAGGAGAGACAAAGGTAAAGGAGAATTCTCAGGGGAGAGTTTCTCCCCTGGATTGATGAATGTTAACATTGTCTATTTGCTTGACCAATCGCTCAGGTAGCCATCTGGCTGCATCCATATCTTTAGAAAATATACAGACCAAGTGCCGTCCCCAAATTAGGACAGGTTCAGGGCCCTTCCATTTGTTAGTGAGTGGATCTTTCCAATAGACAAGAGCATGATTTTTTTGTGACTCTTAGTGCCAGAATCTGTCTGCCACTGAATGACTGTCCTGGTCCAGGGAGAGGAAAGTTAAGATGAAGAGTGCATGAGATAAGAGATTTGGGGGGACCCCTTTGAGGGGTACCATTCCTCTTTTTAATTTTTGAAGGGGTGTTTTTAATAGATAAATGAGCCCATTCGACAATGCCTTGGCCCTGTGGGTTATAAGGGATGCCAGTGACATGTTTGAGTTTTAAGGTCTGGCAAAAATGTTGGAATGTTGCCCAACCTATCCGGGGCCCTTGTCAGTTTTAATGGAGTGGGGGAGGTCCAGGACTGCAAAAGCATCAAGCAAAAGAGCCAGGACATGTCTTCCTGTTTCACCGTTTGAAGGGTGGCAAAAATAAATCCACTAAAGGTGTCAACAGAAACATGAATATATTTTAGTTTTCCAAATTCGGCATGGTGAGTGACATCTATTTGCCAGAGAGAATATGGGACTAGTCCCCGGGGATTTACCCATAACTGAGGGGTAGGAAGCAAAGGAAGTCACGAAGGGCATTGTTTAACAATTTGAAGAGCTTGTTCTCCAGTAATTTTGAACATTAATCTAAGAGTATGTGAATTTAAGTGATGCAAATTATGCACAGTTTGAGCTGAGGAGAGGGAATCTTTTGTTGAAGCTAGGGAGACAATGAGGGAGCAGATAGCAAAATCAGCAGCAGCGTTGCCTGCAGCAAGTGGTCCTGGGAGGTCAGAATGAGCTTGCAGATGTCCTATGAAAAAAGGGGCAGTTCTACCACAAACCAAATTTTGACACTGACAAAAGAGGGCGGCGGCCTCAGAGGAAAATTTTATCTGATCCACGGTTTCTAACAAAAGAACGGAATGAGCAAGAAAACTATCTGTAAAAATACTAAGGAGGATAATGGGAAAAGCTTGAAAAACTGCAATAACAGCATGAAGCTCCACAAGCTGTGCAGACCGAGAGGAAGTTGAGAAGTGGGTGGTCTGACCATTGACTACAAAAGCCATGACTACTGAGGAAGAGCCATCAGTAAAAGCTAAAATACCCTCTTGTAAGGGTGAGGATTTAGTGAGTTTTGGGAAAATATACTCATGAAGGTTAAGAAAATGGACCAACTTATTTTGAGAATAACGATTGTCTCAACAACCAGAAAAAGAGGCATAGGCAATGGGCCAACAGTCAGTGGCTTGGAAAAGCCAATTTACTTGAGCACTAGAGAAAGGTGTCATGATGACAACAGGATCTTTTCCAAAATATTTTTTTTAGAATTATCTCTACCTAACATGATTAAATTAGCTACTGCAACATAGTAGGGATAAATGACCTTTTTAGGGGACGAGGGAAGGAGAACCCAAAAGATGGGTGCCTCCTGCCAGAAGAGACCAGTTGGACTAAGGCGAGTATTAAAAACTAAAAAAAGGAGAGGCTTTGCATAATCTATTTGGGTAATAAATTGGTTGGCAATGGCATCATCTACATGTTGAAGGGCAATTTGACCTTTAGGGGTAAGGGAGCGAGAAGAGTTAGGGTGAGGGTCTCCCTTTAATATCTCAAAGAGGGGCTTTAAGTCTCCAGTGGTAATTTTTAAATAGGGGCGCAGCCAATTAATGTCTCCTAAAAGTTTTTGAAAATCATTAAGAGTGGAAAGGCAGTTGAGGCACAGTGCTGCCCTGGGAGTAGTTATTTTACCTCCTGACAATTGAAACCCGAGATAGGTATATGGATCATGTAGCTGAATTTTATTAGGGGCAATAATTAAGCTGTGATTCTTTAATGATTTTTGTAAATCAGCATAACAAAGGAGAACCTCAGCCTTGTGGGCTCCAGCAAGCAGAATATCATCTGTATAGTGGATAATATACATTTGTGGCCAACTGGCCCTGACTCCTTTTAAGGTGGAAGAGACAAACTTTTGGCACAAGGTAAGGCTGTTCGCCATGCCCTGAGGCAGGACAGTCCACTGAAACCTTTGCATTGGCTCTTTGAAGTAAACTGAGGGGAGGCTGAAAGCAAAGCGCTGTTGATCATTGGGGTGAAGGGGGATGGTGAAAAAGCAATCTTTTAGATCAATGATGATAGGAAAAAAACCGAAGAGGAATGGCAACAGGACTAGGTAAGCCAGGCTGTAGAGCCCCCATAACCACCATGGTAGCATTAACAGCTCTAAGGTCCTGTAAGAGGCGCCAATTTCCTGAGCGTTTTTTGATGACAAAAATAGGAAGGAAAGGAAAGGAGCTTTCTATTACATGTCCAGCGGCCAACTGCTCCTGCACCAGCAGCCTGGCAGCAAGAAGTTTTTCTTGAGTGAGACGGCACTGATCCACCCAGACTAGAGTATCGTTTTTCCAAGTAATAGGGTCTGCGTGTCTGTGAGCAAGTGCAGAAATCTCAGTGGCCCCAATTATAAATTTCCCAAACCTTGTCGATCTATTTTGGGTGTTGTCCGAAGGGGCAAAGATATGCCATTTTCAAGTTTTCCTAGCCCTTTTCCTGGCATATAACCCTGAGCAAGCATTTGGGCGGTGACAAGGTCGTTAGGACTACACATCAAGATTCCCATTTGAGAGAGTACATCTCTTCCCCATACATTTACTGGCAGACCTGGAATCACAAAAGGCTGTAAATTTCCTTGATCTTTCTTTATCTTTCCAAGTTAACATCTTAGAGCTTTGTTCGGGATCATGTTTCTGGCCAATTCCCCTCAGATGGGTAAGTGTGGGTAAAAGAGGCCAAGCTGATGGTCAGTCTTCTTTTTTAATAATGGTGACATCCGCACCCGTATCTACCAAGCCTGAAAACTGTTTGCCATCTAACCATAAATTTAACAAGTGCTTATTCTTCTTAATGGGCTGTACCCAGTAAGCATCAGAGGAACCAAGGCCTTGATCTCCTCAGGGTCTTGAGAGGGATTTATGGATAGAAGCTTCTAAAGGGATCAAAATCAGCTGAGCAAAACAATGTTCCACGGGGATGGAGACAACACTATCGAGAGCCTGGGCGATGATTTTAATTTCGCCTATATAATCGTTATCAATTACCCCCGGGAAAATTTGGAGGCCCTGAAGGGCTGAGCTAACACAGCCCAGAAGGAGTACAAAACAATCTTTTTGAAGTGGCTCAAATTACAGGTGTCAATATTATGTGGGTGGAGGGACCGAGGTCCAGTCCAGCATTCCTTGTAGTGGCTCGGTAGAGCCCTGAGATGGACTGTTTTTGAGGGCTGGGACAAAGCTGACTGCCCCATAAGACTGTCCTGCGGATGGGGCCTGGGGCTGGGCCTGAATCCCGTTTCCCTGCCGCGGAGGGAGGGTGTTACCCTGGGCATCAGTTTTAGATGGGCTTTCATTTGCCCAATGTCTTCCTCTCTTACACCGGGCGGAGCCGCCTGACTAGCCTTAGGACGGTCTTGTTTGGGGTTTGGACAGATTTTGCAAAATGACCAGTTTGCCCACAGTGAAAACACTGTTTAGGCTTACCCTGGGAATTTTGGCCTGAAGTATTTAACCTTTAAGGCTGCTCCAATAGCCAGTCCCATAGCATGGGAGTACCAATGCCTGAGCAATAACGTATATAATCAGCCAGTCCTTTGCTGTGTCAATGGCAGGGTTAGCATTTTCAAAAGCCAAATGAATAACAAAATCAGCCTCAGTTTCGGAGGTGCCAAAAACCCTCTCAGCTGAGGTAGTTAGGCGACTAATGAAGTCACTATAAGGCTCATCGGGTCCCTGTCAGATATTGGCTAAAAAGGTGGTGAGGGCCCCCTTTTGAGGGAGTTTTCGCCATGTCCTCATGGCCGCGATTTGGATTTGAGCGAAGATGCTGGCCGGGAGCTCCCTCTGGTCGTCGTTGTTATTGTAAGATTTGCTCCCCAAGAGCGTCTCAAAAGTCCAATTGGCACTTTATCCGCCGGCCTCTATATTGCGGTGGACTGTCTCTTTACAGTTTTCTGTAAACTCAGATTTCCATAAAACAAAAATCTCCTCCTGAAAGGGTGGCTTGAGCTATGTGATACCAGTCATTTGGAGCGAGCCAAAGATCCCTAAGGGTCTCTAAAATAGAGAAAGTAAAAAGAGCCACAGGTCCATACTGAATTACAGCGCCCTTTAATTCCTTTAAGATTTTGAAGCCCAAGCATCTATATTGTCTCTCTGTACCATCATCGTCCCGTAAGATGTCTTTTTTAGTGACTTCTACCACCGGGAAAAGATCAGGTTGTAATGAGGGACCCAGATGGCCCGAGGGCGGGTCACTCCTTTTTGCCCTTAAAGCCTGAAGCCACTTGATGAGTTTTTGATACTCATCCTCAAGTTGAATTTGAGTATTTGTGGAGATCCTTATATTTTTTTTGTGTCAGCAGCCTTGGCTGGTGGGGCAGGGGCAAAAGGAGGGGGAGCATAAGGAGAAGGGCGACTCAGCGGGCAGCAATGATATTTAGAAGCCTCCTCCTCTAAGTCCCCCCAATTTAACTTTCATGGGTTCTAATCAGAATCATCCTCTGAATGTAAGCCTGAACGTCTTTAAAGAGGGATACTTAGATTTTTTTTTTTTAATTTTTGGTCTTATCTTGGCGTGGGTCTGAAGTTCTGCCCTTTTTAAGAACGGGGGGGAGGACACCTTTTTATTTTCTGGTGTTTCATCTTCACTATCTAGAGAATTTAAGTCATCCTTTTTTAGAATCCCATCCTCACTATCTAGAGAAATTAAATCATCATTCTTGGAAGATTTTCTAATACCGGTCTCCCGTTTTTTTCTCTTTTAAAATTTCTTCCCCTTTATTGATAGTTGCTGCAACCAGGGGACACTCCTTCTTTACTTTAATAATGTCCCGAATAAGATTCCAGAAGGAGAAAGCCATAACCGGAACCTTTTCAGGCCCAAGAGTTCTTTAACAATCCCGAATTGCATCTCCCACGCGGTCCCATCTTTTCTCATTAATAGTTCCTTCTTGGGGAAACCAGGGACTGAGAGACCAAAAGATTAAAAATCAGCAGTTATTATTAATATTTAAGGCCTGAACTAGGTGGGTGGAGAAGTCCAGCAATGCCCTGAGGAGAAGAACCCGCCTTATTGTATTCTTTCCCCACCCACTAGAGATACAGTTGCTAGGAAACTGGTATCCCCCTAGGGAGGGACACCAGATCATTAACGGTCTGGGGACCTTTCTATAGCCATTAATTCAAAATGTAGCATTTTGACCAATAGATGCTTGCCAGTCAGGAATCGCTCCTGCCTTGGGCATGCTGGGAGGGACCAGAATCTTTAAATCACCCAACTAACCTGAGCACAGTGTGCTCAGCTCTCACCACTTCAGCAGTGGGGGGTGTGAGCCCAAGCTGCAGTTTGTAATTTGTAATAAAAAGATCCTCATGTATTTACAGTGGAGTCTAGTTATTCCTGGTCTTTTGGGGTTCATAAACTGGGCAGAACAGGACAAACTGTTTTTAAGAAAAAAAAAAATTGCAATAAATATTTTACCTTTACCTTTACTCCCTGTGCCTTGAGTGCCTCATTCAACTGTTTAACACATAACTCATGGCTACTGATATCTTGTCCCATAACCACGGATACTACCAAATGAACAATTTCGCAGCAGCAGGTGCCCCAGGCTTGAAGCCAGCCTATCTGTCTGCCAGTGTTCCTCACGGATTCCCCCGTGTCCAGTCCCTCACATTGGGTGCCACTTGACTCGACCTGCAGTTCAATCAATGAAGACCCTGGAAGGGGAAGTGGGAATGGGATAGAACAAGAGACTCGAAGAATGGAGACAAGACAGGTTCCTGATCAAGTCTCCATTCATTATTTTTAGTACATCCTTTATATAGGCAGGGCAAAAGGAATGTAATTGCCTTAGCAGGGTTACTAAGTAACTAAGAACCATAGAACGACCCAACAAAGGAGTCAAGGTTTGTTTATAACAGTTGTTTGGAAAGTTCCTCAGAAGTGTTCCTTGAGAAGTCCTGAGGTGGGAGGAGGGTTAATGTGTTTCAGGAACATAACTTTATTGCAAGCCTTAGGTCAGCCAGGAATGCACTATCTTATCCAAGCAGTAGGCCATTAAACCAGGTCAAGCCAAATGCCAAGAGTTCCTGGGGCAACAAGGTGCCAGAAGGCCTCCCATAGGGAACCTTGCAACCTGGATTATCTACCCCCTCTGTTATACCTAGAGATACTTTTAAGTTTATACTAGATTTGTTATAGTATTCCTCTTGCTCTTCAAGACTGTAAAAGATTTGCTTTTAATGTGTCATCAGTAAAATTTAAAGAACCTATGAAGAAGTATCATTGGCTTGTATTACCTCAAGGTATGGCAAACAGTCCAAACTTATGTCAAAAATTTGTGGTTCAAGCTGTTTTTAAAACTAGAGAGGCATATGCTACTGCGTCTATTATTCATTATACAGATGACATTTTACTGGATCATAAGAATGAAGGGATTTTATTAAGCGCCTTTGCATACTTACAATAAGCTTTGAAGGATCAAGTTTTAGTAGTTGCACCAGAAAAGGTGCAGACAGAACCACCTTATTTGTATTTGGGACATAAATTTTATCCTCAGACTATTATGCCTCAAAAAATTCAATTAAGGAAAGACAACCTAAAAACTAAATGATTTTCAGAAGTTGTTAGGTGATATTAATTGGCTTAGACCCCATTTAAAATTAACAACAGGAGAACTGAAATCACTTTTTGACATTAAAAGGAGAGGCTGATCCTTTGTCAAAAAGGGAACTTACCAAAGAAGCTCCTGATGCTTTGCAAAAGATAGAATTAGCTATTGAAAAGCAGCATGTTCAATATATTGATTATTCAAAAGAGTGGGGTGCATATATTTTGGCTACTGTTCAAACTCCAACTGCTGTATTGTGGCAAGAAGGACCATTATTATGGTTGCATTTGCCTGTGTCTCCTGTTCGAGTTCTGACATCATATTATGAAGCAGTGGCTAGTTTAGTTCAAATGGCTCACATGGAATCTCACAAGTATTTTGGTACAGAGCCCTTCTTAATTGGAGTTCCTTTTACCAAAACCAATAAGACTGGTAATTTCAAAATGGAAATTGTTGGGCCATAGCTTTTGCTCATTTTTTAGGACATACTGACAATCATTATCCAAAAGATAAATTACTTCAATTTGTCAATAAACATGCTTTTGTATTTCCAAAAATAATTAAACAAAAGCCATTACCTCAAGTTCCAACAGTATTCGGAGATGAATCTTCAAATCCCTTCTTAATTGCTGCCCACTGTTTAACGTGCAAAGAGAGAGAGAGAGAGAGAGAGAGAGAGAGAGAAAAGTAGCATGCAAAGTGGAAAGCTGAAGTCAGCACAGTTATAGCCTGTGACCATTGTATGATAAGAACGAGTCCTGCTTTAAGTTGCTGTCAGATGAACCATTTGAAAACGTTCAGACAAATGAACTGTTTGAAAACATTACAAACTAAGAACGGGCTGGGAATTCTGTAGAATTTTCTCATGGAGAATCACATCTAGAAACTAATCTGGACTCAGGATAGGGATGTACCCAGTTGAGAGAGCACTTGCCTAGTATGCTCAGGGCTCTAAGGTTCTGTGCCCAATACAACAGACTTTCACATGA